TCTCGGGGGTCCGTTGCCTGCCGGCAGCGTCCCCCCGTGAAACACGGGCAGGCCTCCTCCGCCCTCGTCTCGGCGTACACCGTGGGTCGCCTCGACAAGGCGTCCGCGTTTGCATGCGTCCGGCCAGCCCGATACTCGATTTGCAGGTTGTACTCCTGCAACTGCGCCAACCACCGGGCCATCTGCCCCCGCGGCTCCTTGAATGTAAGAAGAAACTGCAGAGCATAATGGTCAGTGCGGACGCGACATCTCCTGCCGTACAAATACGGCCGGAACTGTTTGCATGCGAAAATCACGGCGTACAACTCTTGGCGGGTCACGCAATAGTTCAGCTCGGCCCCACTCAAGGTCCGGCTGGCGTACGCGATGACTCGTTCCGTTCCATCCTGTACCTGTGACAACACCGCGCCCAGCCCGCTGCTGCAGGCGTCGGTGTCCAAAATAAAATCGGTGGTAAAATCGGGGAAAGCGAGGGTGGGGGCGTGGGTGAGGTGATCTTTGAGAGTGGTGAAGGCCGTCTGGCAGGCCCCCGTCCACTGGTAGGGGTGCTTAGGGGAGGTGAGTTGGGTGAGAGGGCGTGCAATCTCGCTGAATCCCTTTACAAATCGACGATAATAGGTGGCGAGCCCCAAAAATGATCTGGTCTCCGTCAGATTCCTTGGCCGTGGCCACTCCACTACGGCGCGTACCTTCTCCGGATCGGTGCGCACGCCTGCCTCGCTGACGCGATGCCCGAGGTACCCCACCTCGCGTTGTGCGATGTAACACTTACGTGGCTTGAGCTTGAGATGAGCCGCTCGCAGTCGCTGGAACACCTCGCGAAGCCTGGACCAATGCTCAGACAAAGATCTACTGAACACTATCACATCGTCCAAGTAAATCAGGCACTGTTCCCACTGCAAGCCCCGCATCACCAACTCCATCAACCGCTGGAACGTCGCGGGCGCGTTAGTGAGTCCGAACGGCAACACTCGAAACTCAAACAGGCCCATCGGGGTGGTGAATGCGGTTTTCGGCCGATCCTCCTCCGCCATCTCCACCTGCCAGTACCCGGACGCGAGATCGAGGGTGGAAAAATATCGCGCTCCGGCGAGGCTGTCGAAGGTGTCGTCGATGCGGGGTATGGGGAAGGCATCGCCGAGCGTGACTGCATTTAGTTTACGGTAATCGACGCAGAACCGGGTTGACCCATCCTTTTTCGTTACTAGTACCACTGGGGCTGACCAGGGGCTCGCCGAGGGCTGAATTATGTTATCGCGAAGCATGTCCCCAACTGCCTCTTTGATTTGGGCGCGTTCGGGTGCGCCCACTCGGTACGCAGGGAGTTTGATGGGTCGGGCTGCACCGGTGTCAATTTGGTGCTTAACAAGATCGGTCCGACCCACGTCCGAGTCGTGTTCACTGAATACGTCGGCATACTCCCGCAGTAACTCGCGCAGCCGATCGCCCTCTCCCTTAGGTAAATCCGCCCATGGTACATGTAACGCGTCGAGCAGGGGAACGACCTCGGCTCGGGGAGTCGGGCCGACTCGCCAGGCCAGGTCCTGCTCACCCTCAGGACGACCGGGGTCCTCAGCCCAGAGTGCGAACACCGAGTCGTTAGAGTGGCGTGCGTGCAGGGGGTGTACTGTGGCTATCGGGGTGCGCCGTCGCAGTATCGCTGGGGTATTGTGGGGGTTAAACATCCGCATAAACAATCGGTCCCCATCTGCGTTTACCAACGTGGCGGATCCCACAACCCCATACCGTTTTGCCAACTCCGGGTGAGGAGTTAGCATTACCTCCCCTGATGGTCGGAGCGCGGGGTCGGTGGGGGATGTTGCCACCGGCACCAGCATCTCGGTGAGCGGGCCGATGGTGACTGTCGTCGCCAGGATAGCGGCCACAGGTGCAAAGCGGCGGCGCGTTGGTTCTCGTCCCAGGAATGGTATCCGCTCGCCGTTGCTCTCCATGGTGGCGCATCGCTGGCGGGGTTGCACGTTGAGTCCCAACCGTTCTAGGAGGTCGGTGCCTGCGATACACTCGTGACACAACGCACTCGACACGTAGAACTCCTGCGTGCACACCTGGCTGCCTATGCGGACCTCTAGGGTGGCTCTCCCCAGCAGCCCCATTCCGGCTCCGCTCGCCGTGTGCAGCGCGCGGTCCGGTGCCTGCAGGTGACGCACGTCGACCCCGATCGCGCTGCAGTGCGCTGCGCTCACGAGCGAGGCCACCGCCCCCGTGTCCAGCAGGATTCGGGTACGCACTCCGTTTACCTCCCCTTCCACCAGCGACGTGGCCCCCGTGATCCCCGCCACCAGCTCCCGCAGCCAGTCGCCAGGAGTCACCGTTTCTGTGGGCGTTGTTGCTGGAACCTGTGTGGAGATCACTCGCTCGCCATTATTCTCACAGCTTGTTTGTGTCGGGGCTACGTCGATTTCACCCCCCGGTGGTCCCCTCTCTAGGGGGGCCTTAGTGTTTGACCTTAGCTCTTGTCTAGCTCGGGCGACCTGAGGACAGTCCCTCACTAGATGCCCTCGGCGATCGCACATATAACATGCCCGGGGAGGGGTGGCGGCTCCGTAGTGGGCTCTCTGCCCACTCCCACCTCCCCCAGTGCGCTGCTGCTCATACTCTGCTTCTAGTCGCGCTATCCTTCCAGTTAGCCCTCCTACCGTGGAGTCTAGTTCCCCCATCTCGGATCGGATGGTCTCAACGGAGGATTGCAGTTGGGTCATATTTGTATTCGTTTCCTCGCGTACCTGGGTTACCTGGCCGGAGACATCCTTTATACCCGTTTGTATACCGGCAACCCATCCCGGGGTTGTCTCGCGGGACACTGGAGGCTCTCTTTCCCGGCCCCTTACCGTCCTCGCGAGCTCCTGTTCCTCCTCCTCGTCTTCCGAGAGCAGGCTCGCAATGACGCGCTCTCGTCCCAGCCCCCGGAGCTGCGCGCGTTCGCTGTGAATTCTTTCACACTTACGTGCGCGCTCGACAAGGGCGTTAAAGGGAAGACGTGGGCAGCTCATGTCTGGCTGCCACCACGCCGTGCGAGACAGGTACCGCTGGATTTTCTCGGCGGCCAGTTCCTCAATAACATCAGTTGCGTACCCCGGGCGTGCGATCTTTGTTAACTCGCGCACATCCTCGGCGTAATCACGTAGATCTTCGCCAGGTTGGCGACGGCGCGCCTCTAAGGCCGATTTTGCTTCCTCCTCGTCACGCGTGCCGAAACGCTGATCGAGTCGGCGCATCAGCTCCTCTAGCTGTGTCTGTGCGCTCGCGGGTAACGCTTCTACAAAATCGGCTGCCCGCCCATCAAGATTCATATTAAGTTGACGTACTGCCTGCGCGTCCGTCCATCCATTAATTTCCTTGGCCCCTAAGAGATTGCGGGCGAATGCCTTCCACGAAGGGGCCCCCCGGCCGGTAAATATTAGTCTTATTTTAGCGTGAGGTAACGCGGGGGTCCGTACCGCTTCCGACACCAATTTGTGGGGGCCGTTGGCCCCCGGGGTCCCTCCCGCCTGCATCCCCTATTCCGTTTACGTTACCCCACCTCCCTATTACTCGCTACGGTTTCGCCGGCATTCGAATGCGACGCCCCTACTGTTACAGCCTCGCGCCGCGCTCCCACGCTGCGAGCATACGTGCGCACATCATCGTCAATCAAACGCCGTGCTCGCAGTATAGCCCTGTGCGGCACGTTACCAATGCGCATCCGTATCCGACATGTAACGAACGTATGCACACACACACACGCCGCTCCGTGCACTCCAACTCCACACCAACTACGCAAGTTATGATCGCGCACCTGTATCACACACGGAGTGAACACACGCGACACCCACTCTTGCGCCGCTCTGCGCAGCGCTCGCCGTCTGCTGGCCGCTTGCGTTATGATCGCGCACCTGGGGTACGCCTATTACGCACGCCGCGAGCTTACGCACACACAGTACCACACGCGTTCCCACACGCAACCCGCGCGCTCAGCTCCGCGCAGCGCTCACTCACGTGGCGAACCACTGTGCACACAGCGCACCCACACGCTCACACCGCACGACAAGATCACGCGAGACCACGCTTCGCTATTAATGATTTATTATATGCTACCTGCGAATTGATGTGGAATCAGTGAGTCGACGAGGCTGGCCTATTCCACTAAACCTGTACCTATTCCCTATTTATCGGCTTACGATACCCTACTTCACCTCCCCACTCACTGCTTGGTGCCCGCGGAGGTTCGCTGCTCTCTGCGCTAACAGCGTACCTCGATGCGTCGCACGGACGTCCGGGTCGCTGGCTGGAAGTCCTGCTGGTCCGCTGGCCTGGAGAGAAGGGGCTATTTTCCCTCTGCGCCCCTCTATTTATCCTCCCTACCTCCAAAGGGGATGCTGCGCTGAACAATGGGCTCGTGCACCCCAAGCCCGCGCACGGCAGTCCCCAGGCGCTGTTGATATGCTAATCAGTGTGCTGCGTGCAAGGCGTAAATCCTAATTAATCCCTTACCCTCCCTAACAATAGGGCCTGCGCGCTCAAGCGCAATTATCCCAACCCTCCATGACTATGCGCAACAGCCCCTGTGACCCCGCTATTCATGCTGTCTCGTGCCTCCCGTGCTTGCCCCGTCGACTCGTGGGGGTGTGTGTGGGGGGAAATGCGCCTCAACCGCGGTGGCCGAATGCCCCACGCCGCGACCACACCATATTAAGGCCGGCAGCAGCGCCGCGGTACCACGTAGCACGGGGGAGGTCATCCAATTCCCTGATCGCCGGAAACCGTGAGAATTAATCCCGATAAGGGTCTCTCGGATAAAAACCGGTCGATCAGGTAACCTTCCCTTCCAGCTCTATGGGGGGGGGGGGGGGATGCGTGCAGGTGTGTGCTTATGTGGGGCGGGTGATGGGGGGCAGTGCGGTGGGGGAAGCCGGGCGGCTCCCTGGCTCGGCAGAGCGGCCCCGTCGCTGTGGCACCACAAAACCCATGTCTCATATGTACCGCCTTGTTAAACCTCGCAGATCTCCAAAGGAGCGACAGCTATTGGGATGGCGGGCTGGCCGGGGATGTTCGTTGCTGCCGCGGCCCTGCTCTGCCTCACGCACCCGGGCTCCTGTGTACGCGGAGAGGCCTTCTTCTTGGGGCGCCAGTGCAGCGTCGTCGGCGACGTGGCCGACTGCTCGCGACGTGGCCTCACGGCCGTGCCGTCCGGGCTGCCGCCCTCCATCGCCCAGCTGGACCTGTCTCACAACCGCATCGAATCGCTGTCAGCCGACGACTTTTCCGACGTGCCGTTGCTTCGCGTCCTCAACCTGGCCTTCAACCGCGTTCGCGACATACATCCCGGGGCTCTGGCACACATCGCTCTCCTCCAGCACTTGGACCTCTACCACAATGAGCTGCTCGAGATCCCCGCGGAAGCCGTGGGCAACCTCCGCCTGCTGCAGGTCCTCAACATCGCCATGAACAACTACACGTCTTTCGTGCTGGGCGGAGCGTTTGCAAATCTGCACACCCTCAGGTCGCTTACTATCGGCACCGCTCGCACGGACGTCCTCAATGCGTCGGACTTCACGGCACTGCAGAACGTCAGCGTGACGCATCTGAACGTCCACACAGGCTCTCCGCTCATGAAGTTCGAACCAGGAGTGCTCGCCCCGTTTAAGATGCTCCAGAGCTTCCGAATGAACTTTACCGTCGATGACGACCCGGTCATATTTTCCAAGGTTCTCCTCGATTTAAATAAAACGAAGGTTTCCGAGTTTCAGACAGACCGAGTGCTGCTGAATCCTGTGAAAAATATGTCCATTGATTTCTTTTATGGCCTTGAAAAGTGCTCTCTGCTCAGAAACCTCACACTCGTTGCTGCCAACTTCACAGACCAAGAAATAACGAGCCTGCTGAAAAACGTCTACTTGTCTCAGATCACGTCTGTCGAGATAACAAACTCCTCGTACACGGATAAAAACGTCGTCTCATTCTTCGGCCTTAAGAATGTGACCAAACTATCGCCTCTTGAGAAAGTAACAATCAATCAGATTTTTCACCTGAACATGACCTACCCAAAGTTTGCTATCAATTTCACACTTTTTCCATCCTTTTCCAAACTTAAAATATCCCACACTGGCATGAACAAAGTGGAGTGTTTTTTCATGAAACTCAAATTTATCACTTGGCTCGACTTCTCAAGCAACCTCCTCGACGAGGAAGGCCTCTGGTGGACAAACTGCAAATATACAATCATCCTTCCACGCACCACTGAACTTTACATCAGCAATAACAAGTTCACGGATCTGCAAATTATATCCAGCATGGTGTCTCTAATGCCAAGCATTAAGTTGTTGGACGTTGGTTACAATTATATCACTGACATTGACGACTGCAGTTGGCCTCCAACTCTCGAAACACTGATCCTGCGGAACAATGACATCAGCAAAGATTCCCGCATCTGCACATCGCCGCAGCTGAAGGTGTTAGATCTTTCTTACACGCGGATGGAGGCTGTGCCCTATTACATCCTCGATGATGCAAAGTCCTTGAGAGAGCTGTATCTGACGGGCAATAACATCCACTACATCCAGCCAGAAATACAGTCCTCATCCCTGCAGGTCCTGCACGTTGACTACAACACGCTGGGAATCATAACTAAAGGGACATTTCAACTCCTTCCGAAAATCAGGGCCCTCAAATTGGGAAACAACCTCTTTTATTGCATGTGCGACCTTTACTGGTTCCGCCAGACATTTGATAAATCTCTCTTGGTGGATTGGCCTCAAAAATACGTCTGCAGTTATCCAGAGAATCTGGCAGAGAAGACTCTGGATTGTTTCAACCCGAGCATTGTATCCTGCGACAAAAGGATCGCGATCGGACTCAGCGTTGTGATCACGGCGGTGGTCGTAGCGTTGGTTTTGGGCCTGGGTTATTACTTCGACGCCGTCTGGTACATAAGGATGGGCTGGATATGGGTGGGAGCCAAGCGGAGGGGCTACAAGCACGTAACAAGTGGGGAAGCGCCCCCCTTTGAGTACAACGCGTTCATCTCCTACAGCCACATGGACTCGGACTGGGTGGAAGGAACTTTGGTACCGAGGCTCGAGAACTCGGGCTCCAACCTGAAGCTGTGCGTGCACGAACGGGACTTCACCCCGGGGGAGTGGGTCGTGGACAATATCATTCGCTGCATCGAAGGGTCCTCCAAGACACTTTTCGTCCTCTCCACGAACTTTGTGAAGAGCGAGTGGTGCCACTACGAGCTCTACTTTGCGCAGCACCGCATAATGGAGCAGCACCAGGACTCGCTCGTGCTGGTCCTGCTCGAGTCGCTGCCCAAAAACTCGCTGCCGAACAAGTTCTGCAGGCTGCGTCGGCTCCTCAACAGAAAGACCTACCTGGAGTGGCCGGCAGAGGAGAGCAAGCAGGCCATCTTCTGGGCCAGCCTGCAGGCCATACTGCAGACGACCTCCAGTCCCACCAACCCCGTGACATAAGGCCACAATAGTTCTCAACTTGTTGGTCTAGTGGCCCAACGGCCCCCAGAAAACTGGGCCCCGCTCTCCCCCCACCCCACCACCCACCATCTGTGGGGGTCGCTGGCCCCAGAGATCCCTCCCTCTGTACCGCTAATGGCCGGGTTAACCTCATTATTAACCTCATTACTCGCCCCCTCGCTACTAGGCGAACCGCTGTTGGGTTCTTCACCCATGGGGTGAGAGCCGTCGCTCGAGGATTCCCCTCCCCCGCGGGTCCGCGTAATAGGCATGGTTAATTACGTACGTGCACCCCCACACACAGCTCTGCGCGGCACTCACTCAATACAGACCACTCACGTTAGGATCGCGCACCTGTATTATGCACGTAGTGAACGTGCGCGCACACACGCATACAGCTCCACACGCGATACCCACTCTTGCGCCGCTCTGCGCAGCGCTCGCCGCCTGCTGGCCGCTTACGTTATGATCGCGCACCTGGGGTACGCCGATTACGCACGCCGCGAGCTTACGCACACACAGTACCACACGTGTTCCCACACGCTCACACTGCACGACAAGATCACGCGAGACCACGCTTCGCTATTAATCATTTATTACCTGGTAACTAATGTTGAATCAGTGAGTCGACGAGGCTGGCCTATTCCACTAAACCGGCACCTATTCCCTATTTATCGGCTATGATTCTAATTCACCTTCTTACTCACTGTTAAGTGTCCACGGCGGTCCGCTGATCCTTGTGCTAACCGCGTGCCTCGGTGCGTCGCACGGACGTCCGGGTCGCTGGCTCGAGCTGCGTCTGGTCGCCTGGCGCTGGAGTAAGAGAGCGATTTCCCCTCTGCGCCCCTATTTATCCTCCCTACCTCAAAGGGGATGCTGCGCTGAACAATGGGCTCGCGCACCCCGAGCCCGCGCACGGCGGTTCCGGGCGCTGTTGATATGCTAATCAGTGAGCGACGTTGGCGGCGTACATCCTAATTAACCCCTTACCCTCCCTAACAATGGGGCCTGCGCGCTCAAGCGCAATTATCCCAACCCTCCATGACTATGCGCAACAGCCCCTGTGATCCCGCTATTCATGCTGTCCCGTGCCTCCCCTGCTTGCCCCGTCGACTCGTGGGGGTGTGTGTGGGGGGAAATGCGCCTCAACCGCGGTGGCCGAATGCCCCACGCCGCGACCACACCATATTAAGGCCGGCCGCAGCACCGCGGTGCCACGTAGCACGGGGGAGGTCATCCAATTCCCTGATCGCCGGAAACCGTGAGAATTAATCCCGATAAGGGTCTCTCGGATAAAAACCGGTCGGCCAGGCGACCTCCCCTCGGAGCTCTATGGGGGGGGGGGGGAAATGAGTGCGGGTGTGTTCATGTGAGGTGAGGTGAGGGGGACGCGGGGTCGGCTCCGTTGCTTGGTGGTGGCGAGGTCGGGGATTTGGTGCCTGCCGAACGGCTTTGCGGCGGCGGCATCACATAGCCCCCCGAGGTGCCAGTCCCCGTCCCGGGTTGACTGGAGCACCTTGCTTGGGCCGCGCCCACGAGGAAACGTTGCGGGGTCCGGGGGATCCGTCCGGACCTGGTGGCTGGCCTCGGGGCGGGTGGTTCCGTCCTCTGTAGCTCCTGCGGCGGTCTCCTCCTCCACTCCAGCAGCTCTCCCCGTCCTCCGGCACCTGTGGGCTGGGGCACAAACTCAGCCGCGGAAGGGTTTAGCGGCCGTCGTCCGCGCCGTCTCCAGACTGGATCGGGGCGTCTCGGGGGCCCGGTGGGGCCCATGTAGTGTGCGAGGCCCCCCAACACGAGGGGTGCGGGTACTCCGGGATTTCGGGGCCTTCGGGTGACGGGGTTCTCTCTCGCCGGGGCCGCTTTCCACGGTTTTAAGCGGCGGACATTGACCACCGTCTCTCGACCCCTCTCCCCGCCATCAATTAGTACCGTCCAGGGGGAGATCTGTCGCACCACGGTCCAGGGTCCCGCCAGTAGGTCGTCAGTTTCCCCACCTGCCCGGCCCCGACGCGAGGGGTGTGTAGCCACACCTTAGCGCCTGTCAGGAATAAGGGGGGTTCCATGCGGGGTCGGGTGCCCTGTTCCTGCCGCCGATGCGCGGCTTCCCCTTGCGGGTATGCTCAGCCTCGGGCTTCTCGTAGGGTCTCCAACAGGTGTTCCACGGGGCGGCTTCCCTCCTCCGGCTGGGGGGAAGGGACGCCGAATAGCAGATCTGCGGGTAAACGAGACTCACGGCCGAACATCATTAAAAACGGGGTTTGTCCCGTCGACGTGTGTACGGTGGTGGCGTAGGTGAAAAGGGCGTAGGGGAGGTGTTCATCCCAATCCCGTTGATTTGCGGCCACCATACGTTTGAGTTTTCCCGCTAAGGTCTGATTCATGCGCTCCACCATACCGTTCGCCTGGGGGTGGTACGCTGTGGTTCGGTCCTTCTGGATTCCGAACTCTCAGCACAGTGCCTGGAACAACTCGGCCTCGAACTCGCTACCCTGGTCGGTGAGGACTCGTTCTGGGATCCCGTGCTTAAGTACGTAGTGTTCCACAAATGCCCGGGCCACCACCAAGGCTGTTTTATCAGGGATGGCCACTGCCACGGGGTAGCGGGTGAAATACTCTACTGCGACTAGGATATATCGGTTGCCTCGATGGGATCGCGGGAATGGCCCCTGTAGGTCGATCCCGACCAGCTGATTCGTGCGGCTGACGCGGAACGGCCTTAGGGGTACCTGGTATCGTGCCGGTTTCGGCCCGCACTGCTGACAGGCGCGGCAGCCCTGTACCCAGGCCGCCACGTCTTGTGCCAATTTGGGCCAGAGATACTGGCGATGCAGGTTCTCTCGAGTACGTCGTTCCCCATCGTGGCCCCCGAGTGGGTGGTCATGCACCAGCCGTAGCAGCTGGGGTCGCACCTGGGCAGGAACACAGATGCACCCCGGCTGGCCGGCCTCGGTTAACTCCCGTACCACTCCGTTCTGCACACACAACCGGGCATACAAACCGCTCCAGGGTCCTGGTAGGGCGCTCTTTTCCTCCCGCAGTGCCGCCTCCACTGCCGCCAGATCCGGATCTCGCTGCTGGGTCTGTCTCAGCTGCTCGTCGTTTAGGCCCGGGAAGGCGCAGCCGACGTCCTCCTGGATCCGTCCGATCGGGTCCCGAGCCGCGGGTCCCGCGCTTGCCGGGCGGTCGACGGGATCCTCAGTGCCACCTGTGAGGGTCTCTGTGGCGCACACTGCACTCTCTCTCGCTGGGGGGGGGTCAGTGGCCGCGGCCTCTCGGGGGTCCGTTGCCTGCCGGCAGCGTCCCCCCGTGAAACACGGGCAGGCCTCCTCCGCCCGCGTCTTGGCGTACACCGTGGGTCGCCTCGACAAGGCGTCCGCGTTTGCATGCGTCCGGCCAGCCCGATACTCGATTTGCAGGTTGTACTCCTGCAACTGCGCCAACCACCGGGCCATCTGCCCCCGCGGCTCCTTGAATGTAAGAAGAAACTGCAGAGCATAATGGTCAGTGCGGACGCGACATCTCCTGTCGTACAAATACGGCCGGAACTGTTTGCATGCGAAAATCACGGCGTACAACTCTTGGCGGGTCACGCAATAGTTCAGCTCGGCCCCACTCAAGGTCCGGCTGGCGTACGCGATGACTCGTTCCGTCCCATCCTGTACCTGTGACAACACCGCGCCCAGCTGCAGGCGTCGGTGTCCAAAATAAAATCGGTGGTAAAATCGGGGAAAGCGAGGGTCGGGGCGTGGGTGAGGTGATCTTTGAGAGTGGTGAAGGCCGTCTGGCAGGCCCCCGTCCACTGGTAGGGGTGCTTGGGGGAGGTGAGTTGGGTGAGAGGGCGTGCAATCTCGCTGAATCCCTTTACAAATCGACGATAATAGGTGGCAAGCCCCAAAAATGATCTGATCTCCGTCAGATTCCTTGGCCGTGGCCACTCCACTACGGCGCGTACCTTCTCCGGATCGGTGTGCACGCCTGCCTCGCTGACGCGATGCCCGAGGTACCCCACCTCGCGTTGTGCGATGTAACACTTACGTGGCTTGAGCTTGAGATGAGCCGCTCGCAGTCGCTGGAACACCTCTCGAAGCCTGGACCAATGCTCAGACAAAGATCTACTGAACACTATCACATCGTCCAAGTAAATCAGGCACTGTTCCCACTGCAAGCCCCGCATCACCAACTCCATCAACCGCTGGAACGTCGCGGGCGCGTTAGTGAGTCCGAACGGCAACACTCGAAACTCAAACAGGCCCATCGGGGTGGTGAATGCTATTTTTGGCCGATCCTCCTCCGTCATCTCCACCTGCCAGTAACCGGACGCCAGATCGAGGGTGGAAAAATACCGCGCTCCTGCGAGACTGTCGAAGGTGTCGTCGATGCGGGGTATGGGGAAGGCATCGCCGAGCGTGACTGCATTTAGTTTACGGTAATCGACGCAGAACCGTGTTGACCCATCCTTTTTCGTTACTAGTACCACCGGGGCTGACCAGGGGCTCGCCGAGGGCTGAATTATGTTATCGCGAAGCATGTCCCCAACTGCCTCTTTGATTTGGGCGCGTTCGGGTGCGCCCACTCGGTATGCAGGGAGTTTGATGGGTCGGGCTGCACCGGTGTCAATTTGGTGCTTAACAAGATCGGTCCGACCCACGTCCGAGTCGTGTTCACTGAATACGTCGGCATACTCCCGCAGTAACTCGCGCAGCCGATCGGCCTCTCCCTTAGATAAATCCGCCCATGGTACATGTAACGCGTCGAGCAGGGGAACGACCTCGGCTCGGGGAGTCGGGCCGACTCGCCAGGCCAGGTCCTGGTCACCCTCCGAACGACCGGGGTCCTCAGCCCAGAGTGCGAACACCGATTCTAATTCACCTTCTTACTCACTGTTAAGTGTCCACGGCGGTCCGCTGATCCTTGTGCTAACCGCGTGCCTCGGTGCGTCGCACGGACGTCCGGGTCGCTGGCTCGAGCTGCGTCTGGTCGCCTGGCGCTGGAGTAAGAGAGCGATTTCCCCTCTGCGCCCCTCTATTTATCCTCCCTACCTCAAAGGGGATGCTGCGCTGAACAATGGGCTCGCGCACCCCGAGCCCGCGCACGGCGGTTCCGGGCGCTGTTGATATGCTAATCAGTGAGCGACGTTGGCGGCGTACATCCTAATTAACCCCTTACCCTCCCTAACAATGGGGCCTGTGCGCTCAAGCGCAATTATCCCAACCCTCCATGACTATGCGCAACAGCCCCTGTGATCCCGCTATTCATGCTGTCCCGTGCCTCCCCTGCTTGCCCCGTCGACTCGTGGGGGTGTGTGTGGGGGGAAATGCGCCTCAACCGCGGTGGCCGAATGCCCCACGCCGCGACCACACCATATTAAGGCCGGCCGCAGCGCCGCGGTGCCACGTAGCACGGGGGAGGTCATCCAATTCCCTGATCGCCGGAAACCGTGAGAATTAATCCCGATAAGGGTCTCTCGGATAAAAACCGGTCGGCCAGGCGACCTCCCCTCGGAGCTCTATGGGGGGGGGGGGGGGAAATGAGTGCGGGTGTGTTCATGTGAGGTGAGGTGAGGGGGACGCGGGGTCGGCTCCGTTGCTTGGTGGTGGCGAGGTCGGGGATTTGGTGCCTGCCGAACGGCTTCGCGGCGGCGGCATCACACATCACCTCCGTCCTACTCACAGATGTGATGTTGCCGTGTGGTTTTACCCAATAAAGTAAATGACGAGTCATTTGCAAATTTGGAAATTCGGACCGTGGCACCGGAACACTTGGCTTACTCTTGTTTGGTTAATGTCACAGGATTGCTTGGTTAATGTCACCAGGCGAGGTAGTTAACATCTGGCCACCATGATGCCCTGTTAATACAGTCCGTAATAACTGATTACAAAACGTATCTTCAGTTGATGCTGATGTCAAAAAACCACGTGCCACTCAGAGTACAGTATTGGATCACCGACACAACTATCTGGCTCTTGGGACACAATAGCACAAATTATGTTTAATGACAACTAAATTATATGTAATTCAAGTATGTCATTGCATTACATAATTTGAAATTGGTATCTAAGTTACACCTCACAGTAATTGTTAATGTCATTTGAATGCATTTTTCTTGAACCTGTATTGGTGGGAAGATATATAAGTGGGATGTATGGTTGCGGTGATATAATTTTCCGCGATATCAAATTTCATGACATAACAGTTCTCCGTAACTTTGCAATTGTATTTTTGTCTGCTTTGCTGTGCAGTCTCTTCCTCCTATAATGCGGTAGCAGTTGTTGCGTTCCTGAAGAACACCGGGTTGGGGGGAAAAAATCGCGTGATCATGAATAATGCAGGGTAAAGCATAGTCCGCGATAACGCGTGAGATGCCTACGCAGGCTTAACAAACACTCGGTTGCATCTGGAAGCATCCCGCCTTGCGCGATGCTACGCCAAGGCAGCCGTTACAACCGCTTATTCCTACTCGATCGCGTTATATTCAATTCGCATTTGCGTTGTAAAGAACAAAATGTGTTCCCTAATACATTCATCGCGTTATGAATACAACGCACGTTCCAGAACAGACTATTCTTCCAGTTTGCATGTTACGTAAAAGATGTTCAACTGCTTTTCATGCTGCACAAGGCTGTCATAAGTCGTCTCATGATTGCAACGTTACAATGTCGTCTTATTGCTGATGTTAATATTATTGGTAAGTAAAATTGTTGTTGGTGTTCATGTTCATACGCTATGTTATTTTGCTCATGTTGGTTTGGTGTTGTTCTTGTGTCATATTGTTGTTGATTGAAAGTGAGCCAGCGAGTGTCTTTGACAAATGAATATGCAGGGTGCTTAAAGAATTTTGTTACACTTATACGGAACTATCGTTTTCGATGGAATAAGAACGGATAATACACTGTAACATGATAACAAATGTATGTTAATGGCTTCATAAAGTCAAAGAGTCTTCACTTGTTCGCCATCATTGTCCACTCATGCCTGGAATCTTCTCTCCAGGTGGTCTCCAGAGCCCGGAGGCACATTTCTTGTGATATTGTTGTAAATTCTCAGAAGTGTAAAAAAAAAATTCTAGGCACCCTGGATATCCATATCGCGCGCGATTCACTTAAGTTACACCCTGCGCAAATACACGGGCAGTGTTCGTTAAAATACAAGCTGTGGAGTTATATTTCTCCTTTATCCGAGTGTTCCTCAACAATGCAGGTGCAGTAGCACTTCTCGATTGGTGTGGCAGGGTCCAAGGTCCAGTGGCTGCACATTTATTAAACACATTCCTCCTGCGGAGGGAGCTGGTAGGAACGTTGGGTTGCTCGGTCAATGGCCAGGGTCACCGGCGGCGTGGTGTATTCCGCAAATATGGCACAAGCCGGCGTGAGTAGGTTAAACGTTGAGTTTTATAAGGGCACCACGGGGTGACCAGCCCCTCCCCACCCAGTCCCACCCCTCCCACCCCCCACCCTCCCCACCCAGCCCCTCCCCACCCTCCCCACCCAGCCCCACCCCTCCCATTTTTTGATGCACGACGGACGGACATAATAATCCCCTGTGGGCTGGTGGAACCAGATGGTTCCTACCAGTAATCTATTTTAGAATGTTCCCGGATGGCGCTGGAGAAAGCACTGTGACGGCACGTGATGACGTCCACAGGAGTGGGGAATCTGTATTCGTGACCTTCAGCACGAGCCCTACGAAGTATGTTGAACTTTTTTCGCACCGTACGTAGCCAACCATGCTAATCGGAGGTGCATTGGTGGAAATGGGCTGGAATACCCTGGAACATCCTGGAACGCCGTGGTAGGAGTGGGAATGTGAACCCAACTGTGTTCCGGAAGGAATTAAGGTTTCATCTTTGTTTTTATTTGACTCACAGATAGACCCCGAGGCGAACAGAGAGACTCACAGACACACACAATTACCCACATACACACACAGTTACCCACAGACACGCTCAGAGATCCACAGACACACAGATACCCACATATGAGCACAGAGCCCCACGCACGGAGTGATGCTCCTGTTCCCTCCTCCGATCGAGTGGGGGGGGGGGGTCATTTAGGAGTTCCCCGGTATTGTCTTCCCATTGCCAGGCCAGTGGTGCGCACAGCCAATGAACACGGACAGACGAGCCTCCCAGTGTGCACCACGCCGCCACACACGTGATATCTCCATCACACGCCAATCAGCTCCAATGCACCACACCCAGTGTCACGCGGGCTGCCACTATTTAACATGAACGTCATCGACGTTTGAGTTTTCCCACCAAAACACGGCTACGGGCGATTACTTCGAAACGCACACACGTGCACACCGCAGCTATTGCTAACACGGGGCGCGCACGCGCTTGCACCTGCGGGCGATTACCTCTTTACGTGCGCACACACTGCGGCTCCCCGCGTTCACTCTCGCCGCACATTCCCCCACGCAGTCGCTCCACACAGAAATCACAGACACCACACCGATTCTCTGTGCTAAAAATGCTTAGCCTATCACTGCCGTGTGGCGGCACTCGCTGGCGTCACACGGATGCTGCGAGCGGCTCGAGAAGGCAGGACGGCAGGGAGTGGGTCTTGGTGGGTCTTGTGGGTCTTGGCGGCCAAGCGGTTAAAGAAAACCAACCACCATCGTGTTGGCTGCCCACCACTTACATTATCTCTTTCACACGATGGCTGCCTGCTTTGAGTTTTACCTACCCAGCAACACAGCAAGGGGCTGCTTTGTCCTGACTTGCTTTTCTGCTTCTGCCATCTACATAACAAAGGCTCAGTCCCAGCAGCAGCCGTACTAACCTTATCATAACAACTCCTAATTTTAGAACTTTCGTGACTGCAGTAAATGATTATTTGGTTCTTTCGGTTAAGTCACGTCTAAAGATAAAATAATAAATTAAATTAAATAATAGCATACGACGTTTCGATTGCAACACAAGCAATCATCATCAGGTATAATGAAATATCTTGGTGATATTTGTCTGCTAATATGTCTGTCTATAGTTTTCTGGTTAGATTTTATGTCGCAATTTCATTATACCTGATGATGATTGCTTGTGTTGCAATCGAAACGTCGTATGCTATTATTTAATTTAATTTATTATTTTATCTTTAGACGTGACTTAACCGAAAGAACCAAATAATCATAACAACTCCTCTCCCGCGGCCCATCCTGGCTCCTCCCCCCTCAACCAGTATATATACGGGGTAGTATATCTTGGAATTTCTCATTTACTTGATACAGCAATCGTGCTGTGACGGTTCCACCTGAAGACGGAAGCTTGTGTTGCCCCCGAAACGTGATTTATTATTTTATTTCTATTATTTCTTCTATTATTTTTATTATTTATTTTTATTATTTACTTTTTACCTACGTGACTTTACCGAACAAACCTAAGAATATACTTAGATTATCATTGGCTGCTGACATTTGGGCTACGCACATTTAAAACCCTTAGAAACAGTTTGCCTTGGAAGCTAACCCCCCTTTTTCTGAAGACGACCGCTTGTGTTGCGATCGAAACGTCGTAGTTTTTTCTTATTTTTTGTTATTTTCTTTGAACCTGTCTACGTGACTTTACAGAAAGACCCAATAATATAACCGTTTTAATATTTATACATGATTAATAATGTTTATATTTCATCCCATTAAATCAATCTTTTTTAAAATTTTACCAGGTAAAGGCCCACTGAGCAATGGTATATAGCTATTTTTCAGAAGCGACCTGGCCACAGGTGATAGCTCAACCAACACAGAAAGTCAAGAACAAAGAACACGTTTAAACAATTTATTGAAAACAGTGCAACATCAATCAAACACCAATATTTTGACCACATCAATTTGCAGTGGCGATTAATCAAATATTAAAGAGAAGTACACCTGGAAATGAGGCACTTCTCATAAATGTACTACTGATTTTGGTCCATGGAAGTTACATTAAAAAGCAAAGCGAATCACGTGACTTGGTGGCCTGTGGTCGAACCTGGTGCCAACGTCTTTTCGATGCCGAGACGCGTACAAGAGAAGCATTTTGAAACAATGTCCCCTGTAAACCGGAGTACATTCGCAGTCGGATATTGTCAAGAAATTCTCCGCATTTAATTCAAGCTAAATTCCCAACTCTGAAAGTTTGACGCTCATGCAATGAACATTAAGTCTCACGTGGCAGAGCGGGTGGGAAAATTCCTCCCTCTGACGTGTGGAGCCAGAGGTCACTTCCAGCTGTCTCAGAGGTAGCGCTGCCATATCCTCTTCAGTGAGCCATACCATAACACAAGGGGGGGTTGGCTGCACTGCTGAATGAGACATCCCAATGGATACTTCGTCTCAGACATGATGCAAACAGGGCGATTGGGATAAAATTGTGTAAAGTTTAAAAGCCATATAAAACTATTCTTCACATTAATCTAAATCATTATTGCCACGGCCAATTAGAGTGATGCACACTCGTTACATGTTTTTCTAATTTAAACTTTTCTTATCCAATGAAAAACTGGGTGCCAGAGTTAAGTTGATCCTAGGGGCTCTAGTTATCCTTCGATCTCAAAGGACTCGCAAGTAAATTGGGGGATGAATAGGCCTGCATAGGCATGAACATCATACCAGCCACAGTTTTCTTAAATGCCTTTCCCTACACAATGTTTGCAATGATTAGGCAAAAGTCTGCAGCAAGAGTTACTTGGCTTAGATAACACCCTTAGACAAGCCTACTATTTATTTTAAGTCATTAAGAGCTGGCACGAGTTACCTGCCTGAAATAATCAAATCACCATACATGATTACAGCCTGGATGAATACTCACAAGACAGTTGCCTGAATTGAGCCCAAAATCTCATGCTTCTTTCCACTGCAACCAGCTGAGCAAGCTATGCCGGGGGTTGTGCCAAGCCAGCCCTGGTGGGACTCGGGAGGTGCTGGGTTGCTTTTCCACTGCACACACAACAGCCAGTAGGAAAACCAACCACCTGTACCATGCGGGCCTCGCACTGGCTTGGCTCGGACGAGCCAGCGGAGGACGGGCCATCGGCACGACGTGGGCTGTCGTCTTCACGCCCAGGGGCTTGACGGGTCTCACAGGGGGCCCACGTCCCACCAGCGGACGCCGGCGAAGGGTGAGCGGCGAGTGTTGGAGCCGCAGTGCACCTCGCCCAGATTGAGGTGGTAGGTCTTCAGGTCGTCGACGAAGTGGCAGGCGAGGCCCAGGGGCTCGAGCAGGGAGCGCACGTGGCTCTCCAGTGGGCACTGCCCGTCCACGTGCGGCCAGAACGGCTTTGGGATGCCCAGCTGCTTGTTGAGCACCACCATGTTCACCTGGGCCACGGGATGGCACGGGGGACGCGAGGAACACGGCGGGGAGAAATTAATAAGCCTGCGTTTTAACGATGATATAAGGAATAATATACTATTTTGCAGAGGTATTCGGCAGTCAGTTGTAGAGCATTCCAAGTTGATCGTAGAGAAGGAGTGGGGCAGTTTAGGGTACAGTATACAAAGTATGTATGTACGGTCAACTTCTTTCGCACCGTACGTAGCCAACAGTGCTAATGGGAGGTGCGGGGTAAGGACGACAAACTAAACACAACAACGAGCAGTTCTAAGGACATGAGTTTCCAGTGGCTAAAGTTATCATAACAACTCCTCTCCCGCAGCCCATCCTGGCTCCTCCCCCCTCAACCAGTATATATACAAGGTCGGGTCTCTTGGGATTTCTCTTTACTTGATACAGCTGTCGTGGCTGTGACGGTTCCACCTGAAGACGGAAGCTTGTGATACAGCGCAAGCACAATGCGATCACAGTGGTGGATGGTGAATGTTTACAACTGAGACTGCCACTAGTGTGACCACTTGGCAGCGTCCTGAAACAAACAGATCTAAGAGAAGGACACGGCAAGATACTGGATGGCTATCGTAAACACACTTCGGATATGCAAAGGAAGATTTATATCGCCATTTATAACAGATGCCGGTTTAATAGAGCATTCCGGATGGTAAAGTGCCAGATAAATAATAATAAAAAATGAAGCTTCAAATTTCAATGGTCCTCAAACTATCTGTGATGGACAGGTCGCTCCTGAAAAAGAGCTATATAGATCAGTGGGCCTTACCTGGTAAAATAAAAAAAATAGTTAAACAATTAAAGAGTGGAGCTTTTGTAACAGAGCGGCCACACGCACCACGTCGGGGAAGTAGGCCTCGGCCTTGCTCTTGTTGAGGAGGAAGAGCACGGGGAGGTCGATGATGTCCGCCTCCTCCAGGCCCAGCTCCCTCTTGAGCACGTCGCGGTTCCAGTCGATGCAGCGCTGCCACCACAGTCGTTGCCATTAATACGCGCGTGTATGTGTGTGTGCGCGCGCGTGTGTGTGCATTTCTTCACAGGTGCTCGCTAACAGCACTTGTCCCAAAAGTCTGTCAAGGCTATACAGGGGATCTGTGTCTTTGTACCTTACAAAATTGGCCCGTGATTTTTGGCGATTTAAGTGGCGATTTACGTAAAAACAAAATTATATGCATGTAGTATTAAGAATAACGAACGATTAAAAAAAAGTAACATTCAAAGCCATCAATTGGGGCTGCCTTTGGCCTTAAGGAAACAATAGGCTTTTGCTCATGAAACGGATATACGGTGAAGTCCTCGCTTAACGCGTGTTCACACAGCACGCGTTCCTCGCTACGAGACTTTCTTCTGCGAGTGAACAATCTCACACACAAGCGGAACGTGCCATGCAACAATGCTGGACGCACCCCAATATAAGGTGGTTCCTGAGCGGTCGACGACGAACTACTTTCTTGAGCCACGCGACTAAGCGGTATGATACAGTAACGCGGAATGATACAGTAACGCGACGGCGTGCCCTCATATCAGTTGTATGTCCTACCATCGGATGAATTCATTCAGCAAACGTGATTCAGTCTGTTAATTCCTCGCTTAATGCATTTACACTGAACGCAGCACTTTTCAGGAACGCATCTACCGTGTAATTCCTGAACACGAATGAATCCCACCCCCTGCATGAAGGAGGTGTTTGGAGGACACCCTCAAATCGTGTGTGTGTGGTTATCTATGGGTATCAGTGTGTGTGTGTGTGTGGTTATCTATGGTTATCATTGTGTGTGTGTGGTTATCTATGGGTATCAGTGTGTGTGTGTGTGGTTATCTCTGGTTATCATTGTGTGTGTGTGGTTATCTCTGGGTATCAGTGTGTGTGTGTGTGTGTGGTTATCTCTGGGTACCAGTGTGTGTGTGTGTGGTTATATCTGGGTCTCAGTGTGTGTGTGGTTATCTCTGGGTATCAGTGTGTGTGTGGTTATCTCTGGGTAGCAGTGTGTGTGTGGTTATCTCTGGGTACCAGTGTGTGTGTGTGTGGTTATCTCTGGTTATCATTGTGTGTGTGTGGTTATCTCTGGGTATCAGTGTGTGTGTGTGTGTGTGTGGTTATCTCTGGGTACCAGTGTGTGTGTGTGTGGTTATATCTGGGTCTCAGTGTGTGTGTGGTTATGTCTGGTTATCATTGTGTGTGTGTGTGGTTATCTCTGGGTACCAGTGTGTGTGTGTGTGGTTATCTCTGGGTATCAGTGTGTGTGTGGTTATCTCTGGGTATCAGTGTGTGTGTGGTTATCTCTGGGTAGCAGTGTGTGTGTGGTTATCTCTGGGTGCCAGTGTGTGTGTGTGTGGTTATCTCTGGGTACCAGTGTGTGTGTGTGTGGTTATCTCTGGATATCAGTGTGTGTGTGTGGTTATCTCTGGGTACAAGTGTGTGTGGTTATCTCTGGGTATAAGTGTGTGTGTGTGTGGTTATCTCTGGGTATCAGTGTGTGTGTGTGTGGTTATATCTGGGTTTCAGTATGTGTGTGGTTATCTCTGGGTATCAGTGTGTGTGTGGTTATCTCTGAGTATCAGTGTGTGGTTATCTCTGGGTATCGGTGAGAACAGGTCCACCTCTGGGTGAGTACTGTACCTGTACATATGCATTTTCAGTCGTGATGTTTTTGTCATCGACGATGTCCTGAATCTTCAGCTTGCGCTTCAAGGATGAGACAACTGTGGGGGGATCATGGATGGGAAGAGGGCGATCGCGATAGAGGAGATGTGGGAGGACAGAGGATAGGTTTTATTGCTTACAGCATTGACTGCAACTAGAATTACTGCCTGTTGTAATTACAACAGGTAGTAACTACAACTAGCAGTACTTACTCTCCGCCTGATGAAGCTAGTTGTAATTACAAGTGAAACGTCATACTCAGATTGTAAATGTTGTGGATTGGCTCTCCAACACACCGGTGTGCTGCGCTAGTAACAAATTGGCATGTTCTGTTTACGTGACAAACCTCACTAATTGGCTATCGAACCCAAAAACCCCGTATTATGGATTCTGTGATAATGTTCAATGCAAAACCGGTACCAGTTCTTGGCACAAATCAATCCCTGCCACCCGAAGAGAGATGCCAATTTCCTGGCTGTCCAACTGAAACCCAAGACAGGTGGCAGCCCTGACTTTATAATGCCATCCAATGTTTGGTGCTTTACAGTTATATTTCTTGGAAAGGCAAGGATATTTTCCCAAAACGTATTTTTTCTTTCTTTGCAACTCACCAAATGGAAGTCTTTACAAAAGGGTCCGTGCCTCATTTTTCTCTTCTAGTCAATCATGACCCAGAGCTTTTATCAGTATTAGAATACAGCCTAGAAAAAGCCTAAGGCCCAATCCACCACGTTTCCATTTTGTCTGCTTTCAGATGCCCTCAACCAGCAGAAGACGAATATGTAGCTGCACATTAAAGCTGAACACTAAAACGTAGTCGTCCAATGTGCGGGACACCGCTTCATTTAATACCTAGGATCTTGCGCTGTCAACTGCAGCTTCAGCGTCGATGTTTATAAATCTGCAACCTGCACATTTAGTGACGAGCTCACCGTCTGGGCAGCTCTCAAAGAGGCGCTTCTGGCCGTGTCCCTGCTGGAGCAGCTCCTTGAGGAGACGGAGACACGCGTCGGGACTCGCGAGCAGCAGCCGGAACCCCTGTGTGTCGCACGCCACCACAAGCACATCGCACACAACAATACAAACACGTAGAACACAACGACAATAAAAACACCACGCAAAGCACAACAAAATTCACGGTAACACAAACACGTCGCACACAAGGAAAACAACATAAACACGTCGCACACAACGGCAACACCACACAATGCACAGCAACACAAACACATCGCACACAACGACAACAACAACAACAACAACACAAACACGATGAACAACGGCAATAACAACACCACACAAAGCACAACACAATGCACGGCAACACAAACGCATCACACACAACGACAATAACAACACCGCACAATGCACAGCAACACAAATACATCGCACACAACGACAACACCGACAACGCACAACACCGTACAACAACACAAACATCGCACACAATGACAACGACATCAACACAAACACATCGCGTACAACAACAACACAAAGAGACAAAGATTGATAGCAGCCCCGCCGTTGGGCAGGGGCCTCCCGCCCACGTCTTCCACTCTTCACGATCTCTTTGCAAACCGCATCTCATCCCACAATATAATTTTCCCATCTTGGCAAATTACATGGGCATTTATTGCAGCCGAATGCTCTCAAAGCATATTGATTTTAAACGTGAAGGGAAAAAACCGGAGGACCCAGAGACAAATCCTCGCGACCACAGGAAGAACATGCAAACTCCAAATATACAGCAGGCGTCAGGGTCAATATCAAATCCACGACCTTCTGTGCACCAGGCAAGGTAGTTAACATCTCGCCATCGTGGCGCCTCCCTGCCCCCCACCCCCCAGCTACTACCAGACCTACCCCAACCCCCCCCCCCCCTTAACCTCTGCCGCCTGTTCTCCTAACCGTCACCAAAACTACACCACCACTTTCTAAATCACAACAACCGCCATCATCTCCCGTGCAATCGGAGGTCAGTTCGCTGTCACGCCAAACCTTGCGGTCGGGCGCCGGCACGAAGCTCATGAACTCGTCGACGTGGCCCACGGAGAGCCAGTCGCTGTAGAGCTCCACGGGCGCCTGCACCTGCTGCGCGAACAGGAACTCGCGCACGGCGGTGGCCATGTTGCGCCCCGCGCGCTCCCTGCAGGCACGGGACCACACACGAGGCAAGCAGGGCGGGGCGGGTCAGGGCGGGTCGGGATGTTGCGCCGGGGCGACAACGGCGGGCGACGGGGTCGGGGGGATAAGGGGACAGGAGGTGGAGGGGGAGTGCGATCAATGGGACGTTCCTGCGAACGAGGGACCCATTTGAGCTCGAAGTGGAGCGTGGCACGTGCCTGTAGTCCCGCCACTCTTTGAGCGATTGGTGCAGCAGCGGCGTAGTTGGCTTGGGTCCTGGTGCAAATAATTAATTGGGCCCCCCCCATCCCTCCATCTTTAATTTCCCCCCACTTCGTTTCATAAATTGTTACATCTCAATTATCAAGCTGTTTCATGACCGTTCCCCTCTCGTCTGTGTGTGCGTGCGAGCTGCTTAATGAGCTAATTCTTTACGTTTTCTGACTTTCTGCCGAGTACGGTTATGATGCTGAAGCATACTGTACAGTGTTGTTGTGTTAAGGTTTGGTATTGAGCGGTATGCCACGTTCATTTAAAAATATCGCACGATATGTTGCTAGGTGTGTACAAGTTGTTTGTATGCTGGTGGTCACATGGATATATATATATATTTATTACTATCAGGAAGCCACTAGAGCTATGCCCTTTTAAATCTAAATTGAAAACTCATTCTTTAAAACTGATGTTTGTACTTAGTTGAGCCTGCAATCTGAAATGTAAATGATCCATAAACCTGAAATGTTTACATCTGAACTTCAATCTCCGATTAGCACGGCTGGCTAACGTACGGTGTGAAAGAAATTCAACGTACACACATACATACAACACCTGGACTCCTCTGGCTTATTGGCAGTGCCATCCCTTTTTTTATATGTTATGTTTCGGTTTGGGTCTAATTGTCCACGGTCAACTGACGTTGGCTGTAATTGGCCACGGTCCCTTACGTTATGGCAAGCTTCGGTGCCACTTCCTGGAGTCGTGGAGTTCTGCCATTACTAGAACATTTTATAAAAGCGTGTTTTTAAACAAGTTTTTTTTTAATATTACTTATTTTATTTGTGTAGATGGTACCTCTTTTGTATTCTTTCTTGTTTATTTCTCTGTCTCATTTGTTACACTTTTTTTCTTGACGACGGGTGTTCGAGGAATCGCCGATTCCAATACAATTATTACATTCAACGGCGAGCGCATGTCCAAATGTGCTTTCGTGTGAATTCCAGTCGTGCGCAAGGGCAAATGCGTTCGGGAGCTAAACGCCAATTTTCGACGTCCGCTCGCCACGACGAGAGTGCTTCAGGAGAGCGCAGCAGCTTTGCCATTTTCTCCCATTGAAGGGGGCGAGGGCTACAGTGGTCCACTGTATACTGGAACTGATTAAGGCTTGTGCAAATGAGAAAGCTATTTTTACAAGTGGGTTAACGGGATGGGGGGGGGTGAAGATAACCGTACAAATGAGACAGAATAAACGTGAAAAAAATTAAACCCAAAAGAAGTGGAAGTGGAGGGGGGTGGAGCTGGGGTCAGGAGGTGCATTGCGCGATGAACCCGCCGACCCGAGTTCGAATCCCGGCCACGTTAAACATCGGTAAGAGAGCGCTAACCTAAACCGGGCCTGGCCCATTCCCTCTCACCAAACGTGAAGAATGGTGGAAACAACCCCCTGTGATTGACATTGGTGTGGAGTGGCCTTAATGCGGAAGATTTTGTAAAAAAATGCAGCAAGGCAGTCGATTTTTTTCTTACTTTCTGAAAACATAACGAAAAATAATGACTTGAGAAGAATCGGCTCTTGAATCAAATCGCGACCGCCGACTCTGAATTTTCATCGAGTTATTAAAGAGGTTCGGGGGGTGAATCGTTCCACGCGGCGACCCCCAGAAGGAGAGAGGGAGTGAGAGACCCAGCAGACTCACCCGGGGAAGGCGCTGCCAATGATGATGCGCCCGAGCGGATATTTCTTGCCCTTCACGATGACGGGGGGCGACACCTCAAGGTTTCCGAACGAGTCCAGGCTGTTCACCTCCTCGCCTCTCCGTGGCTTCCGCGTCACATAGCCAAAGTCCTTGCCCTGAGACACCGGCCAGGGCAGAGAAACACCATGGTGGCGAGATATTAACTACCTCGCCTGGTATGCAGGAGGTCGTGGGTTCGATCCCGATCCTGACGCTTGCTGTATATTTGGAATTTGCATGTACTCTGTCTCCGTGGTCTTGTGGATTGTTCTGCGGGTCCTCCGGTTTTCCCCTGCACATTAGGAAACATGCGGTTCAGAGTATTTGGCTGCTACAAATCTCCACGTGATAAGCCACTTCGTTGAACTATAATTTGTGGCCAGGTCGCTTCCGAGAAAGAGTTATATAGCTCAGTGGGCCTTACCTCGTCAAATAAAATAAAAATTAGGTTCTATATTCTTGGTTCTTTCGGTAAAGTCACGTAGAAGGAAAATAATAAAATAATAAAATATTAAACAATAAAATTCTCACGACGTTTCAACTGCAACGTCGTGAGAATTTTATTGTTTTTATATTTTTCTTATTTTATTATTTCCCTTCTATGTGACTTTACCGAAAGAACCAAGAATATGAATCCCTGCAGTCACGAAAGCTTTAAATCAAAATGTTGGTTTTAGTTTTAAAACATAAAAGGCTCACAGACGGAAGGGCTATAATGTGTTGGAACTTTACGCATTGAACCAAACCATGGCTTCTTTACTTTATTACCCACAACCAGTGACGTAGGTGCATACTAAATCGAGTCCAGCCTCTGAAAAGTTCACGATTTGAAAAAGAGCTATCATAGCTCAGCGAGTCTTACCCCAGTACAATAAAAAAGGTTTCATTTTTAGGAACGCAGTGAACATGGCTCTCGCCATGTCCAATTTCCTCTACGGCAGGGGTCAGGAACCTTTTTGACTGGGAGAGCCATAAAAGCCAAATATTTCTAAATATATTTCATTGACAGCCATATAGTATTTTTAACGTATAATAAATTAAATATGTCTTACTTTTAATGCGACTTTTGGTCACGGGACCCGTGACCCGAGAAAATTTTATCTTCAAAACTAATTTCTGTTTACTTTAAAATGACACAGTATTATTAAGCAATATCACAAGTATTTTAAAATCAGTTCCAAACTGATTTTATTTTTATTTTTTTATTATATTTTTTCAACTCAAAATTGTCTGGGAGCCATATGCCGTCACCGGAAGAGCCATATATGGCTCGCGAGCCATAGGTTCCCGACCGCTGCTCTACGGCCTCAACCCGCATGCCCCGTCTCACTGCATCCTCTCTCATCATCCCCTCGGCTCCCCTCCACGCCCCCTCCTGCTGCTCCCCTCTCATCTCACTCTACTCTCCTCCGCACGACCTTCCCATGCTCCCTTTCCTTCTCTTCTCAGCATACTCCCCCCTGTTTTATTTGAATAGGAGGAGACGATGCGTTTCGCGGGTGCCAAGCAATTCCTGTGAATGGGTCACTGGATGATGTATACAGTAGTCCATCGTTAACACTGACATCGTTTAGTTATACCTATCAACCCGTTATCAGTGCCTACCTTATTTCAGACCAATTCAGACCTTATTGGTCACCGCGTGCCCTTATAAAGGGCGAAACACAAACAAATAGAAAAAAACTATTTTGCCCGCATGGAAACGGCTGTACGCCATATGAACCTGAAAACGTAATTTCTCTGTACAAGAATACGGGTAAACCGTATGTGTTGACAGCTATGTTTCATGTTTTTTTATCAGTTCATATTTCACCTCCTGTAGGACCCCCATGGTTCTGACTGACGTTAACATGACTGGTACCTTCTTCCTGTCTCAGGAGAAACCCAATTTTCTGATATACGATGACAAGTCCACCCCCGTTCGCCCGACTTAACGCCATTCGATTTCTTTTTATCTTTGCGATTTTTAAAGTAAAGTCTACAACTAGCAAACCAAGGGACTTTGAAGAGCTTAAACATCTTACTGTTGTTGATGTCGCTGTGTCATCATCCATCCCCTACAGCTGTGTTGGAAAATGTTTTCTCAGGGTTTAAACACTGATTTAGATTGATAATAGTGAATGATTGATTATAGTGAATTATTGATCATAGTAAATGATGGACGACGTGGAAGTTTATTAATAATCCCAGAATATCTAATCAATACCATAACAATTTAAACAAACAAAAAACTCCTAAGCCACATTACATTTACGTCAGTACCTCGAATAACAATAAAACTACTCAACATTCTTTTAGTTCTATTATTTTCCGGACACCCTGTATGCTTTTTAAACGGCGGATGCGTTGAGTTTTTCGCGATTCGCGAGGCATTGTGCATAGCTTTCTGCCATGGAAGCGTAGCCAGCCAGGGCTGGGTGGGGTCAACGCGGTTACCGTTAGCAGGAGCGGCACGGCCATTAGTCCGCGGTCCCGCGGGGAGTCGAACACGACCGGTATGACCTTGGTAGGACACTCGCAGTAGCCAAACTCCATCTCGTCCTGCGCGTGAACAAAAAGAGACACGTCAATTACCCCACGCCCACGAAACCTCGCTGAGTGAATGGAGCAGCGTTGGTAGCGAGTGAATCCATCGGCGGATTAAGGCCTCCCAACGTGGAGTGCAGGCTGAAGGGTAGGCCCTAGGACCAGTTCGGATATCACTCGCCACTGATGTTAGCTGTCAACAGGAATCGAACTTGGGTCGACGGGTTCATAACCCAGTGCTCTAACCACTGTTTACATCCGAACTGCAGCAGTATGAGATGCTAATCGTCTTCGACAGATGAGCTCACCCTGTGTGCTTTCCACTGTGAGCGGGAATTGAACTCAGGTCACTGGGTTAGTAGCGCAGCACGCTAACCGCTACTCCACGGCTCCCCACACACCTCAGCACTCTCTCTTACACACGGACACTCACCTGCATCCACACATCGACTGTGTTCTGTATTTCAAATGGCGTGCACCCGGCCAGGCGAGCGATGGTGGTCATCTGCTTTACGAACACCGCATTCGTGTCGACCCTGGGGTGACAAAGACAAAGATCCCCCGTGTAGCCTTAACAGACTGTAGGGGCAAGTGCTGTTAGCGAGCACCGATGAAGGCCGGCACTGCACACGGGGGTGGCGAGCACTACACCAACACACACTCTTCCTAGTGGTGACGTTTACACATCGCACCAGGTACTCCTTTGAGGCTAAGTCGACCTAGGGGAGGTCCAGGACCAGTTAAAATATTCACTATCACTGGTGTTGGCTGTGAGTGGGAATCGAACCTGGGTTGCTGGGTTCATAGCACAGCGCGCTAAACTGTTACTCTTCCACTCCCTGCTAACCCTGGGGTGAGCACGCAACCACGCAACCACGCAACCACGCAAACACACAACCACACAACCGCTCACCATGCAGTGATACACCACGCATCTCACGTCACCGTATCTAGGCCAAGTTTAATTAATTTTTGGGATTAACATAAAAATCGGGAACGTATCCCTAACTCCCCAAATACCTTGTCATGAAGATCTCCAGCGCCAGCTGGGTATTTGGAGTCATGATCCAAGGAGCCACACGGAAAACCACGCTGTCGCTGAAAATCGGCGTGCTCTGTGTGCCCTGGTAAAAGCGAGAGAGAAAAATAATAATATGCATCACATAACAATCCATAACATTCATAATTAAGGTTTTGGGTTAGATCGCGTTACAATAAATGTGTCGTAACCCTCCACCACCTGACAACCAATTGGTAAGGGATTCTTCACGTAAACAAACGCCAATTAGTTACTACTTCAGCCCACCGGTGTGTTGGAGAGTAAATCCACAACATTTTACAATTTGAGTACGACGTTTCACTGGTAATTACATCCAGCATCATGCGCCATTTGCCAGAATAGCCTATCCCACTTCACTTCCCGTAGATGGATCACTGACGTCAAGATGTGTCCAGACAGCTGGATAAAAAATTCATCGCAACGTTTTCCACGGAGTCAATCTCCAGTACTCCCACAGCCTGATCACCAAATGACCTGCACAAAATAAAATCCATGACAAGGAGTCTCTCGTTATTCACCACGAGGGCTAATGATATTGGCCGACAAAAACCTTTATATATATTTTTTTATGAATTACCTGATATAAATACATAAATAAGCTATTAAATGCATGAAAATAATAATACGAAAAAATTGATTGGTTATTTATGTAATCACTTCATCTCTCATCACTTTATCTCTCGTCGCTTTATCTCTCGTCACTTTATCTCTCGTCACTTTATCTCTCATCACTTTCTTTCTTTCCCTCTCTGTCTCGATTCAGTAGTCGTGTAGAGTTCCAGATGCGATTTGCGGACAGCCAAAATCGCGGACAGCAAGTTCGTGAATAACGAGGGAATGCTGTACATTAACTTTGGTTATTCACTTAATTTGGCTAAAGTTCAGCTCTGAGACTTGAAAATTGCAGTTTGACTGTCGTGCGACGAACTTTACTCAGCTTAGCAGGGCGAGTAGAAAAACATCGCCCCCTTCCTGTGTGTGTGGACCAAATGACATTTGGGATGTCAACAATAGCTCTGAGATATTCGTCCTTGAACACGAAGGGGTGCACTGTTCTATTAAAGACCCGCGTGGATTCCCCATCTCATGACGTCGTGATGATAACGCAGTCGGGATGAATTTGGGGAGAAACATTTAAAGATGGGGTAATACGTTTATAAATAATGATGCGAGCAAGCGCAGGGCTCTATTTGCGGTTAGAGCATTGGGCTCCATGTGTGATGCTACAGCTATATGCATGTTGAACTTCTTTCGCACCGTACGTAGCAAACAGCGCTAATCAGAGGTGCGGGGGAGGGGGGGGGAGGACAACAAACAAAACACAAAAAGCAGTTATAAAGAAATTAGTTTTCAATCGAGATGATGATTTAAAAGTGCGTAGCCCCTGGTGGTGGGCTCCTAATTTTGGAAGGGAAGAGCGTTCCAGACGACCGCCAAAGCGCATCTGAAAGCGCCACTCGATTGCCGTGACGACCACCGTCTTCGTACGATGGCCAGCCAAAAAGCCGGTGCTGCTGCGAGGATGACCGGAGTCTGCGTGATGGTTTTTGCTCCTCGACGAGAAAGATGGATGCACGGGGATAGACGCTGTCCGGCTGCTGCTGCTGCTGGTCCTGCTTCCCACTCACCGGCAGGATGACCTGCAGGAGGCTGAGGTGGAAGTGAACGAATCCGTTGAAGTCGGCGTCCGGGAAGCTGAGCCCCTCCACGAAGAAGTTCACCTCTCCGCCACGACCCGGGTACTCGAACGAGTAGCTCGACTTGCCCGGCCCCAGCGACTGCCTCTCCGTGCCTATCACCTTGCTCAGGTCTCAACACCACCGAGGCACCGACAACGCGTCAACCAGCGAGTGTCCTTCACTTGACATGTCCCCCGTCACGTTTACAAGCTTGGTCGTCCGATCTCAGAATCAAGAGCAGGATTCAGACCAGAGAGTGCAGTAAAACCCTTTATATCTGCGAGGATTACGTTCTTGAAAATGCTCACGAATGCAGAAAAACTTTTGCTCCAGTGGGGGGAAAGTGGGGTTATGTTCCTGGTACGAGTGACCATAGGGAGGAAATGGTAAATGTTTAATAACGACGCCTACAATAAATAAATAACATTCAGAAGCACGACGTGTTTTTTAAAATCCTTTATATTAAGTGCACTTGCTTGCTTGCTTGCGCGCTTACGACCGTGAAAATCTTTTGGTCGTTTTTAAACCCACTTCCCATGATCCAATCGAGCTGACATTTTGCACACAGACTTTTTAGGAAAATTTTTTAAAATTTAATTACCAATTGCTTAATGGTGGCAGGCAATCATCTGACCCATAGGTGGCAGCCATCTCAAGCCAGAAGACGAGAGGACTCTAGCCGCCCATTTCAAAGACCAATGTGGGCTGGGTTGTGGCCCATTGAACACGTACTGTAATTTATTGTCTTGCTCTTTGTAAGAAACTGAAAACACAGCAAGGTCCTCCTGTCATGGAATGTAATGTAAACCAATCGAAAGCAAACAACAATAAACGTGTGCCTATTTTATGTATTGCTGTTTTACAGTTCGTTCTCATTTGATGGATTTTGCTTCACAAAACTGTCACCATCGTAATGATGACGCAAATGTTGACTAACCACATGGCATGAAATCCCTGCCCCCACGCTGTACAATGGAGGCTATTTATAGAGCAGTTACATTGAAGCCGCCAGGTTCTTGAAAGTGGTAAAACGGGTCAACGCTAGTGCCCTCGGGAATATACGGGGCATGTCAAGAGGTGATCTAACATTTTTAAATCATTTATATTAAGTTCACTTGCTTGCTTGCTTACTCAAGAAAAACAGAAATGAATAATAAAATGAAACCGATGCCACGCATATAAAGGATTTATAGCGAAAAACTTTGTGTTTACGGGTTAATTTTTATTTACTTTGATGATGATGATGATGATTTGACGACGATAGACGTGGTGGTGGTGATCCACTCGGGAGATGCAGGAGTTTGATAACAATGTCCGCAGAGCTGTTATCCGTTCAGCACCCTGGGGAGCGCAAGCCGCAACACTCTCCCTGATTGCATTCGCATTATTTTTAATGGACCTGACAGTCGACTCGTTTATACATTTTGGTATGAGTACATATACGATGTCAAAAAATCCACAACAGTGAGTTCAGAGCGGGATTACTGCAAGACGTGAGAACTACGTGGGCAGCTGAGGGGGCATGCCAAATCTTTGCAGACAGTTTCAAATGTAGTAACATTCTGTCTTTACCTCCCTGGTGTCGATGGTCTGTAGGCACTACGCACACTCGCGAATACTGGAGTCCGGCGGGTCGCGAAGAGGGAAAAATTGATACATTTAGCAACTCGCGAATATGCGAAAATTGCAAATCCAGAACCCGTGCTTAGCGAGGATTTCCTGCATTTGGATTGAGGGCTGCCTCGTGATACCAGCTACCATAGGCTTGAGATGCCAGGTAACCAGGAGATAGCAACGCAGCTACAGAATGTATGAAGTGAAGTCGTGAGTCATAAGGAATGACCTGGCGGACCGTATCTCTCTTTAAACACACCTCGATGCTAAATGCGGAGGAAAAAAAACTGGAGGACCCGGAGAAAAATCCACGCAGCCATCGGAAGAGAGACACGCAAACTCCAAATATAGAGACGTCAGGGTCGGGATCGAACCCACGACCTCCTGTATACCAGGCAAGGTTGTTAACATCTCGCCACCGTGCAAAGTGATTATAGACAGGCGTCAGGGTTGGGTTTAAGCCCACGAACTCCTGTATACCAGGTGAAGTAGTTAACATCTCGATTTAAAGCTTTCGTGAATGCAGGGATTCATCTTCTCGGTTCTTTCGGTAAAGTCGCGTAGAAGGGAAATAATAAAATAATAAAAATTGAACATAATAAAATACAGTTCTCACAATGTTTCGGCCACAACGCAAGCAGCCGTCCTCAGGTGAAGAACAGGTCTGTCGGAAAGACAGCATCTGAAATGTCTTTCGACAGCCCTGTTCTTCACCTGAGGACGGCTGCTTGCGTTGTGGCCGAAACGTCATAAAAATTGTATTTTATTATGTTTTATTTTTATTATTTTATTATTTCCCTTCTACGTAATTTTACCGAAAGAACCAAGAAGATAGTTAACATTTCTTAGCCACCGTGGCGCAGTGCTCCGTTGGGTCGATGGGCCTCTCACCGGGTACGTGGAAGACGCCAGCGTGCTGCGACTGAAGGCTGTGCAGCTGGAGGCTGTAGCCAGGTGGCAACTTGGCGGGACCTCGGGTACGAACCAGCATCGGCGACATGTCCTGCAGGTCTGTCGGGGGACGGTCACACGTCAGTCAGCTCATTAGTGACACGGCGATCATCACCCGTCAGCTCATTAGTGACACGGCGATCATCACACGTCAGTCAGCTCATTAGTGACACGGTGATCATCACCCGTCAGTCAGCTCATTAGTGACACGGCGATCATCACACGTCAGTCAGCTCATTAGTGACACGGCGATCATCACACGTCAGTCAGCTCATTAGTGACACGGTGATCATCACCCGTCAGCTCATTAGTGACACAGCGATCATCACCCGTCAGCTCATTAGTGACACAGCGATCATCACCCGTCAGCTCATTAGTGACACAGCGATCATCACCCGTCAGCTCATTAGTGACACGGCGATCATAACCCATCGATCTCAATCCCTCTTCTCGTACCTCTCTTTCTCCACTGCATCTACCCAACCAAGTTCCTGGTCTTCCCTCCTCCCAGTTTCCCTCCACTTTTGTGGGCACCACAACGTGGCTCCCGCGTCGCTTCGTCGACACCCAAGGCCTCTCGCCCCTCTAGGGGAAGCCCTTCTAAAGCAGTGGTTCTCATACCGGGGGGTACTCGGGGGTACAAGCAGTGCCAGATTAAGCTAGTGCGGGGCCTGTAGCATACTTTATAAAGGGGCCCTAAATATGAAAATACACATTTTTTTACTTGCATAGTAAAATAATTGTATTTTTTCATTTGCTATACAGATAGATAATATGACAAATCGCTAACCTTAAACACCCAGTCGTTCATAAAAGTCGAAGGTGGTATAGTACTATAGTGATAGAGCAAGTGCAGAATCACTGAACCGGAATTGATAGCATGAAAGCATTTAGGGCGGGGCCCTTGAAAGTGCGGGGCCCGTAGCTACTACATATGTAGCTTCTTGTGCTCCTCGGATAATCCGGCACTGGGTACAGGTGGAGAAATAGTCCCTGGGGGTGCATGAGGTGATTTATAAATGAGAGTCATTGAGTAAATAATCTTAGATGAATCTGCCAATAGAAAATAACCAAGATAAAATTTAAATCCATCTGGTAACCTAAAACGATATAAAAGACCTTTCTAAACTCACCGACCGTAAACAATGTGGGTTTCCAAGATTAACCAGCGAGCGCGAACAAATGACCCCGCGCGTTGCACAGCGTCCGTTTAATTTTCTTTTTTTTATTCACTTGTAGCTACTACCTCGTGAGGATACCTCGCGAAATGGATAACTGGTTCAAATATTGATGTCCATTATTCGTACATTTATTTCTCAGAACCATGTTGAGTCAGACGAAGGGGGTTGTGCTCGTATGAACCAAACTTCAACAAGGGGGTCACAGAAGTAGCCAATCGAAGGTTGAGAACCACTGATCTAGAGGGTGTTTACACATGCCACACGTAGCACATCTTTTTTGTGCATTTCTATTATTAAAGCGTAAAAACGCTCAGCAGGTCGACAATGAGGAGCACGGAGAGAGCTGAGGCGGCGTGAGGTGGAGGTTGGAGTTTGCATGTCTCTCTCCCTCAAACATTTAGAATCAACGTCACGCGTTTAGAATGTTTGGCTGCTGTAAATGTCCACGTGATGACAGGCCACCTTTGTCGAACCGTAATTCGTGAAAGCCAGGTCGCTTCTGAAAAATAAGCTATATACAGCTCAGTGGGGTCTTGCTTGTTCAAATAAAAAATTCGTTTAGCTTATCATTTTAGTTCATGGAGTGGTGGCCGCGCACCTGCTGCCCCCTGCAGGGAGCGGTCCTCGTTGTCGGGTGACGAGGTGGAGTCCCTCTCCTTGTCGCAGTTCACCAGAAGAACGGCGCCGTGCCCGTTGGGTCCCCACTTCCACGTCGCCTTCACGCGCCACAGAGAAAAATACAAAGATCCCCCCATGTAGCCTTAACAAAACTGTCAGGGCAAGCGCTGTTGTTGTTGCGTGCAGCACCCGTGAAGGGCCGGCACGACACATGAGGTGGTGGGTGGCCAGCATCACGCCCCGGATGCCTTTGTCTCGCCCAGTGGCGATGTTTACGCGCTGCACCGGGTACTTGTTTGAGGCCGAGTCGACCTTGGGGAGGTCCAGGACCGGTTCAGATAATCGTCACTGGTGTTGGTGGCCGTCAGTGGGAATATAAACGCGGATCGCCGGGTTCAAAGCACAGCACTCTCACCATTACACTACCACTCAGCACCACAGAGATAGAGACCCCCCATATAGCCTTTAACAAATTGTTGGGGCAAGTGCTTTTCACGAGTAGCACCTATTGAGGCTGTAACGCCACACAAGGGGGTGGGTGGCCAGCACCACACCCCGGCTGCCTTTGTTGCCCCCAGTGGCAATGTTTACTACACGCCACACCAGGTACCCATTTGAGGCTTAGTCGATCTAGGGGAGGCCCAGGATCGGTTCAGATAATCGTCACCGTGAGCAACAATAAAATCCGGGTCACCGGGTTCGTCGCGAGGCACAGTGCAAAACCGCTACTGCACGCACCACTGCCCAGCGCCACGGGCACACAGCGACACCCGTCGAAGCTTCTACAACCGCCCCCCTCCGGTGAGCGAAGACCGCGGCCACGCTCTGGGGATGACGACGCGGGCCGAGCGCTCGCGCGTTTTCCGCTTGTTTCAGACGCGCGCGGTTCGAGCCCAGCGGCCGCCCTGGATGACGCCGCGAGGTGTATCAACCGGAGACACAATGGGCCGTCTGCTTCACAGTGGTGGAGATCCCGTGACGGGATTCGAAACGGAGTGGGCCACGCGTGCCAGCGTCACGGTACAAACTTACCAATTTAAATTACTCGTAAATGACCTATGAACTATAAAACTGTACAAAAAAGATCTATTTATACTGGAGGAATCCGATGAGCTAACAAACAATCCTAAAACACGATAGGAGTGTAAAGTAAAAAATATACCAATAAGTATTTTTTTTTATATTTTACCAGGTAAAACTTACCGAGGTATTTACTTCTTTTTCAGATGCGACCTGGCCACAAATGATAGCTCAACGCAGTGGCTTATCGTGTGGAAATTTACAGCAGCGAAATACTCTAAACACAAATCGATTATAAATGTGGAGGGAGAAAGCAGAGTACCCAGAGAAAAATCCAGACGACCACTGGGAGAGAGAGAGAGACACAAACTCCAAATGTACAGCAGCAGGCGTCAGGGTCGGGATCGAACCCACGACCTCCTGTATACCAGGAAAAGGAGTTAACATCTCGCCACCGATGACTGGGGCAGAAGAGGATAACGAGCGGCCGTCCACCTCGCTGGGCTTTGACAGAAAGCCACGACTACTGGGGTAGGAGCATGTGAGAGAGAGTGGACAGAGTCAGATGAAACGAGAAGGGAGTAGGCAGGAGTGAGCCCTTGCAGAGAAACTGAGGGTGACCTCTATTTTTTTATTGGTAACAACCCTGCCAAGCCACTCCCTTGCCCCTCCCCCCCAAGTTGCCAGAGCATGCTCCCTGGACAGACGCTCCCTTCTTCCTCACTCTGCTGTCCGGATATGGAACTGCCTCCCTGATGAACACATTGTCGACAAAGTCACCAATTCCGGTCTTCAGGCCTTCAAATGCCGAGCACAGACACATGGGAAATTTCCTAACGTCACCACACGCCTTGTAGGGACTGAATCTTTGAGCTGCAGCGAACCAATGATTATGGCGATTAGATGTACTAATGTTTAACATATAGGCTTTCACGACCAAAATCATCCATAATACAGGTTTTGGGGGTTAGTGGTGGTGGCGGGTTTAACGACACATTCATATCTTTACACGATCTAACTGGAAAACACCTGCATTATAGATGTACTAATGTCTGATATGGCTACCTTTCACAATTGCACCCAATGCAACAAAAAAAAACAAATCAACGCGAGCCCCATACAAAGCGCCGATCACCAAAACGCAGTCGGGGGGGGGGGGGAGTGGAACAGAAATTCTGCGAGCAGCAGCCCCGAGTTTTCGGCGCGACAGGTGCCTAGCAAAAAACTGGGCACACTACCCCACACAGGTGGGGAACGCTAGCGGGGAAGGGAGGGGGGACATGAATGTTTATACGGAAAGGGGAAGAGGGTAAGGGGGTAAAGATAACTAGCATAGTGGGGGGAAAGATAGGGACGAGGGGGGGGGATAGGAGGGGGAAGGGGGGTGGGAGGGGGGTGATCTATTTAAGTTTATTCAGGACAGAGGGTGTGCCAGTGAAGGGATCAGAGTATGAAGGGTAACGTGGGTCTATCTACGGGTGCGGAGTCCTGGCGGCGGAGGCATTTTGGATCGTCGTCATTCTCCCCATCTGGGAAAGACGAGAGGTGGTTGAGGAGGCTACAGAGGACAATGGATGAGTGTGCTCTGCAGCAGCCGGGCAGAGGGAGCGGCGATGCAGGAGATGTGCAGACAAGAGGGAGGAGGTGTGACAGAGGGGTACGTGGGGAGAAGAAAAATACAGGGGGCTCACGATCAACGAAGATGACTCAGAGGTTACGCTACGCGCACACACTCCTTGCCAGGCGCTTTACCTTGTTAGGGTGGTTTTGCTCTACGATGCCATCTCGATCAGAGTCCACATCCAGGGAGAGGCCTGTAATGGAACAACAAAAACAGTATCGTCACCATCGCACGGCCAGAGCTTAAATATCTCACTTTCGAATCCAAGTCAATGAACTTCCTCTGTTCCTCTTTTCCTCTCTATTAAAATTAAGTGAATAATTCTGTCCATGTCCGTCCCAAACTATATTGAATTGTTACGCCTTGACAACACCTTTTTGATGTAAACAATACACTTCAGTCAAATGTCCTTAAAGTAATGATATGTTTTTTTGATGTAAAAAAAAAATTTGTAAACGACATTATTCTTATGTTAATTATACTATGATTATCAAACGGTGCATCTGAATTACAAAACCACTACTTACTAACCACTGTAACGTTGCAGGAACAATTATTCTCTTTAAGTGGCACTAAAAGTTGAAACCTGTTTAGTTCTTACTGGCTTAACCAGCTCGCCTGGTATACAGGAGGTCGTGGGATTCGACTCTGACCCTGACGCCTGCTGTATATTTTGAGTTTGCGTGTTCTCCCTGTAGGTTCCGTGGAATTTTCTCGGGGTCCTCCGGTTTTTCCCTCCACATTTCGAATCAATGTCACACGTCTAGAGTATTTTGGCTGCTTTACATTTCCACGTGATGGTAAGCCACTTCGTTGAGCTACCATTTGTGGCCAGGTCATTTCTGAAAAAAAGCGATAGAGCGCAATGTGCCTTTCCTGGTAAAATAACATAAAAAGTTTCGTTTTAGTTTAAAATATAAAAGGCTCTCAGACTGACAGAGCATATTGTGTTGGTATTATACGTGGTGAAACAGACCATGGTTTATTTACTTTACATTCCACAACTAGTGACGTAGGTGCATTAATAAATTGAGTACAATCTCTGAAGTTAACGATTCGTTTAAACCACCTTCAACCACGATCAGACGCCCAATTAACTCCTGTGGACAGACACCGGAGTGCTTTGTGAACATTGCAGTTTATGGCTGTGGGGTTTCACCATGATGTCAATCACACCTAATCTAATTTTATATTTATAGAGAGCACCTTCACTCAAGGCGCTTGACAGAGCTTACAACTCAGAGACAGAATATCATGATTGAGATGGCAGGGGCGTGCAAGAGTTGAGGAATGAGTGACCACCAAAGAGGGGTACGTCGGGATCACGGACGGGTGGGGGTAGGGATGGGAAGAAGTGGAGGGGCGAGGGGAGGGATGAAGAAGATGGGCAACAGAGGAGAGGTGAGCTTGAAAAGATTCGTGCTTAAAAACCTTCGTGTGCATCTCCTCGTCAAGAAAACAAATAATTCAAAAGAAATATGTTTGCGTTACACAGCTGTTGTTCACATTCTTCCTCTTAACCACAAGTTAATTAAAATACAGGAATAGGGGATCCTTGGACAACCAGGTGAATTGCAAATTGGCTCCAAAGCAGAGATAACAGGAATAATGGCAAATAAAGTAGCGTATATGAGGCAGTTCATTATATGCTATTGTTTGAGCTGGAACGGGCAGCCAATTTAGTCAATTGATGAAAAATTGTAACCAACGATTATTTTTTTGGTACTTGATTACTCAGGCCCATTTAAAATGGTGACTGTCCCCACATCCTTAAGGGGGGAAACCCCCCCACAAGCCATGGCCACGCCCCACCCATTACCTTCTGTTCAGTGTCAACGTGTGGAAAACAGAAGTGAGAATTATTATTTTAACATCAACTATTTTTGTCTTATCCAATTGGCCGAAAAATTGCTAGAATAATCGATTGTTTAGGTAATCAGATAACGCCGCTCTAGATACTACACGTTCAATGCCTCCCCCCCCCCTCCGTCGCCATTTCATCACGGTGTGACATCACAGGAGGTGATGTCACAATTCTGTCATTACCCGATATCGCCAACAAGCTCTAGGTGACTATCAGAGTGAATCTGGGATTGAATGGGAAGAAACGCCACTGTATGACTCTACTTTATTAGTTATTAAGACGAGGAGCTCATGTTAGTTGACTTGCTTGTCAAGAATGATGTTTTGGGCTTAGGGTTTAGAATTACACAAATACATTGTGGCTCATGTCATGGATGGTGTTGGGTGTTATTGTTATTGAATCATATTTTCGTGTTCCGTAGGTCCTGAATTTTGATAATACAAAAAAAAGTATCATGCTCGTCATCACTCGCACAAGGACACAACGCAGGAGTGAAGACACTCAGCGACCGCATCTCACCAATGGCCGTCAAGTAAACTCGAGCTTTGGCCAGGGCAACGTCAGCCTTTACTCCGTAAAAGGTCACGGACATCTGCAATCAAAACCCAAAGATGATGAGTACCACGCACGGTGGGGGGGGGGGGGGGGGTGGAGACCTGAATTAACGTGATACAAAACCCTCATCTCTGGTGGAGGCCACTCAAAGACAATGTATATATTATCAGAGCATGTTTGTTTGCAAGTATGTGTGGTTAATGCAGACTTGATTTTTTGACATAGGTATCTATTGGTGTTGGAACATCTTAACACCTGTTCTATTGCCATCACATCTAATTTTTAAATCCTTTATATTAAGTTCGCTTGCTTGCGTGCTTGCTTGCTTGCTTAGGACCGTGCAAATCTTTCGGTCGTTTTTTAACCCACTTCCCGTGATCCAATCGAGCTGACATTTTCCACACAGACTCGTTGTGCCAGACAATTATTGTTCGTGAAAAAAAATTCCCAAAATTTTACACTTTTTAGGCAAAAAAAAATTATTTTACATATATTCAAATAGAACGCATTCATGGCTTTGGCTGAACGTCAGAGTGTAAGAGCCCAGAGCGTAACCCCTCCACAGGCCGTGGTGGAGTAGCGCAGTTGGTAGCGCCCTCGCTTCCCATGCCAAAGGTCGCGGGATCGATCCCCGCGTCCTCCACAGGCGAATATATTTTTAAATCCTTTATATTAAGTTCGCGTGCTTGCTTGCTTGCTTGCGTGCTTGCTTGCTTGCGTGCTTGCTTGCTTGCTTACGACCGTGCAAATCTTTCGGTCGTTTTTTAACCCACTTCCCGTGATCCAATCGAGCTGACATTTTCCACACAGACTCGTTGTGCGAGACAATTAATGTTCGTGAAAAAAAATTCCCAAAATGTTACACTGTTTAGGGAAAACAATCATCTGACCCATAGGTGGCAGCCATCTCAAGCCAGAGGACGAGAGGACTCTAGCCGCCACGCATATAAAGGATTTATAGTGAAAAACTTTGTTTTTAAATCCTTTATTAAATCCTTTATATTAAGTTCGCTTGCTTGCTTGCATGCTTGCGTGCTTGCTTGCTTGCTTACGACCGTGCAAATCGTTCGGTCGTTTTTTAACCCACTTCCCGTGATCCAATCGAGCTGACATTTTGCACACAGACTCGTTGTGCGTGACAATTAATTTTCGTGAAAAATTTTCCCAAAATTTTACACTGTTTAGGGTAAAAAAAATATTTAATTACCAATTGCTTAATGGTGGCAGACAATCATCTGACCCATAGGTGGCAGCCATCTCAAGCCAGAGGACGAGAGGACTCTAGCCGCCACGCATATAAAGGATTTATAGTGAAAAACTTTGTTTTTACGGGTTAATTTTTTCCATTGTATTTCTGATATGTTGAATAAATAGCATCCATCCCTCTTTTGAATACTCATTTTGCCTGGGAATATCCCATGAATGCAATCGTGATGATTGCGGCAGTGGCCTGTGATAGGAGTGTTGGTGGTAATGGTCATGTGCACTTCGCCGGATAAGAGTGGTGTGGCAGTGATATCAATGTCGGTCACGGTGGAGAGTAAATGGATTCAGTGGCAGATACGGTGGTGGTGTTGTTGCTCGTGGTAGCGATTAAGTGCCCTCACTGTAGTGGCAGATGAATCAGTTCTGGTGGAGGTGGTGGTAGTAATGGTTATAAAGGGTGGTGGTGGACGAATTCAGACAAAGAATCCCCATATAGGCTTTAACAGACTATTGGGGCAAGTGTTATTGACGAGCACCTATGAAGGTTAGCAAGGCGCAAGACGGGGTGGGTGGCAACACCACGCTTGGCCGCCTTTGTCTCCCCAGTGGCAATGTTTGTATATACTGCATCAGGTAATCATTTGAGGCTGAGTCGGCCTAGGGGAGGTCCATGACCAGTTCAGATCATGAATCGTCACTGGTGTTGGCCGTGAGTGAGAATCGAACTTAGGTCGCCGGGTTCGTAGCGTGGTGCATTAACTACTGCGAATTGAGAACGCACACCCACACACAACAACAACTGCCATTCACCACTAAGTGATGGTGGTGTTATCACAGCGCCAGTGCCAGGCCAGGTGCACTTTGAGGCCACGTGAAGTGTCGAAGGCTCGCTGGACAGACCCAGGTACCATGGGTTGACCGACTGAGATGACTGGCAAATGCACCAGCCGTGCCCCCATAATGTGCACGCATACAAACGCGCACGCGCACATATGCACACGTGGCGTAACGCTCTCACCTTCTTGTCACCAACCTCCTGGCTGGGCGTGAGCACCTGAGCGTGCACCTGGGTGCCCACGGCCACGCGGCCGCGCATGTCGGTGGCCGCCGACTTGAACGGCGTGCTCACCCAGCACGTGACGTCCACGCTGGCGCTCACAGAGAAACTCTTTGCCCCCGGCGGTGCCACACTAGGAATGGGCAAAGGGGGGGGGGGGATAGGGCAATTTTAATGTACAGCATCCCATTAGTTTGAACGGTAAATCCTAAACAAAATCTGCTGCATTGCCAAAATATAATACTGAACTAAACAATTTTGTTTATTTTACCAGCTAAGGCCCCACACTGAACTATATATATATATATCTTTTTCCAGAAGCGACCTGGCCATAAATGATAGCTCAACGAAGTGGATTATCGTCACGTGGATATTTATAGCAGCCAGATACCGGAGGGCCCTGAAAAAAAAAAACACACGACCACGGGGAGAGAGACACCACAAACTCTAAATATGCAGCAGGCGTCAGGGTCTAGATTTAACCCACGACCTCCCGTATACTAGGCGAGGAAGTTAACATCTCGCCACCATGGCACCCGTAAAAGAATGAGTTCTCACAAAAACAAAACAAACATCCCCTGTACTGTTTTGAATACACGTAGTCTGTCAGAATTTTCAGAAATTAAATGTCCTACACACGGGTTGTCGTTTACACTCAAAATAGCCCCTACTATATCAGTTACAACAACATGCCAAGTTGATCGTTAGACATTATCTATCCACTGCTGGATGATGGCCTCACCATCCCATTGTGGCACTGCATTGCCACATGCCCTCTTGCGCCAACATGATCTGCCACCACTGCCATCTCCACGGGAGTTGTGAAACTCATTTTTGGCAGTATGTACACTCTATTTAAGATATCTTAGCACATTTAATTCAGCCGTTTGGGTGGCCACTTTATCTCAATTATAATTTATCATCAGCTCAGACACATGCAAAGTAGTTTTGTGTGACAGCCACCAACCACTGCTAAGTCAACATAACTCTGAGCTGCATTTAGAAACATGCGTTTAGAGTATTTGACTATGATACATTTCCACGTGATTGACACTTTGTTGATCTATAATTTGTGGTCAGGTCGCTTCTGTAAAAAGAGCTATGCAGCTCAGTGGGCCTGATCTGGTAAAATAAAATAAAAACTAATAGTTAACTCTAGTGTGCCATGATGGTCTTCATGAGGTGCTTACTAACAGCACTTGCCTCCAACAATTTGGTAAAGGCTACAGAGGGCATATTTGTCTTTGTATATATGTGTATGCATGCATGTGTAGGTTGTGTGCATCTGAGGTTAGTACTTGTGGTTGACTGCCTAGTTGGTTATGGTTTAAGGCTAGGACTCGCATTCGATCGGTTAATTTGTTCTGCTTGCAAACTGATTGCCCCCCATCTCCCCATTGCAACGTGACCTCTTTTTTTGGCAACGCTTCTGTGACAGCAGCGTGAATCAGACACCAAAGTACACCCCCACCCCAAGTCCCAGTCTATATTAATCAATGCTGCATGTGCCATGGGTCGTCCTTCCCCCGCACCTCCGATTAGCACGGAAGGCTACGTACAGCGCGAAAGATGTTCAACATACAGTACACAAACATAGAACATAGCAATGAATGGGCCTCGGGAAACAGCACCACTCTGCGTAGCTGTGGGGCAAATCAATCGCATCTGGAGAGGGAGCCCTGGGCACCGAACCATAGGCACGGGTAAACTTGCACAGTTATTGGGTTGTGTCTCTCATGTGGCGACCACTGCGTTCTGAATCCTTTAGCAAAGGGCACTTCGTCGCCGTTCCCTTCCTCACTGTTGCACACGCGCACGAGAGAGACAAGATAATGAAACGAGCCACAGATTGTTCGGTTGTAACCACGCCGGTTGTTGGTGGGCACTTCTGAACCAGAATATTCTCTGTGAGTCGCTACATCTACAGCGTGTACAAATCGCTGGGGATATGCGAATGATTGGAATAAGAGCAGATGGCCAAACGCCATGGGTTATACGAAATGCATTTATGCAAAGTTGGTGCTGCCCTGCATTTTTATTTCCTCACACAAGCATTTACTTTATACTGAACATCTGTGAAAAAGAGCTTTATTGCTCATCGGATTCCTCCAGTATGATAAAGATTCCAATTCTGACCGATGCTGGCGACAAAGAAAATTCCGGTTCAGAAGTGCCCACCGACAACCCAAACAAATCTGCGGCGCGGCCGATGGCGGGCACCTCTGAACCAGAATGTTCTCTGTGAGTTGCTACATCTACAGCGTGTACAAATCACTGGGGATGTGCGAACGGTTGGAATCATTGCAGATTGCCAAGCGCCATGGGTTATACCAGGGGGGTCAGCAACCTGCGGCTCCAGAGTCGCATGCGGTGGCTCTTTGGCTCCCCCCTTGCGGGCAGCCGTAAAATAAAAAGTAGGCCTTAAACGTAATTAAACGTAAAGATAATTGATTAAATATGGCAGGGAATGGGTCACTTTGTAATATCTTGGCGATGGCAAAATGTACAGCAGTCAAACTGTATTGTTAAAGTGTCACTAAGGGGGACAAAAACTAAATAGACGCAGTTTATTCCATCACCTATTTTAGTTAAGTCACAATGTGGTTGTCATCTGCTTTATACCTGCTGCTGTGTTTGTGTGTAACAAGGAGCTCAGAGTGCGAACGGCTCTCAAACTATATTGGTCAAAGACAAAACAAAAATGTCTCTTCTTTTTTTAACAGTTGCCGAGCCCTGGGTACACACGAATTGCGTTCGTGCAAAGTTGATGCTGCCCTGCATTTGCTTTACTCGCACCGCATTTTCTTTCTCCTGGATATCTGTGAAAAAAAATGGGTTGTAGCTCATCGGATTCCTCCAGGGTAATAAAGTTTCTGATTCTGACCGCTGCTGACGATAGGACCCCCCCCCCCCCCCACTCGAGGGCACGTGGGCTTCTCTTCCACAATGGGCAGCCATCTTGGAAACGCACGGGAGTACCCACACTTTAGAGGCCGTCCGTAAATGACGTCACGCGATTTTGGACGATTTTGACCCCCCCCCCCCCTCACATGGCGTCACAAAAAGTCAGACCCCCCCCCCCCTCAAATATGACGTCACAAAGCTCTGCCCCCCCCCCCCCAAAAAATAAAACATGCTTCAAATCGCTTTAAACTATTGCCATTGTAGTGCGTATTTAATGTGGCGCTGCACTCTGATGTTGTAGGAGTGTTGTTATAACAATTAGTGTTGTTATAACAATTCTATATTTATTCAAAGTTGTGCATTTTGATGTGACGTCACATTTCTCAACCCCCTCCCCCCCCTGTCACATATCGTCACAAATGTCTGATCCCCCCCCCCCCCCTAGGTGCGTGACGGCATATTTATGGACGGCCCCTTGCCCCACCCATTTATGGCTGTTGAGTGGACAGAAGTGGGGGGGTTTGGTAGGTGGGGCGGGGGGGAGATTTCAACTGCCGTGACCTCACTAGTCCAGTGTGTTGGCAATAATCACAAGGCGGCATCCGTGGGCGTGCAAGAGGATGTACAATGTTTACCCACATTGGTGTATTTGTTATAATGGTTACGGGGTGGTGGTGGGGGAGATTTATTATGGGAGAGCTTTGGTGGTTCTCAGAGTGTGGTCTCCGGTCCCACCGGTGGTCCATGGCGGTCCTCCAGGTGGTCTGTGGTGGTTGTTGATGCAAATGCACAGATAGATCCGGACAATAATGACGATGTATTATACCTTTTCTTTCGTACATTAATTGAATTACCCCAAACCCTGAGATCTAAATGCCACCCTTAACAAATACACTTTAAGCTGCGTTAAAGAAAGAAGTTTTTTTTTCCCCCAGTAATATTAGTAATTTGGTATTAGTGATATTTAGAGAGAGGAGTGAATGCGTTTCGTCACCAGCGGTGGTTCGTGGAAATGTTTGCATCCGCTGAGTGGTCCGTGGGCATAAGACGATTGAGAAATACTGCGCTATGAACGATTCAGTGCTTTGGGCGCCTTGTATAGTCACCGGGAAATGATTAAGATGTTCAGCAGGGAAACCCCTGCCAGGGCCATCGAGGGGAACTGGGGAGTGGTGGTGGTGGTTAGGGCGGTGGCACAGTGATTAGCGCGCTGCACTATGAACCCGCGGGATCCGAGTTCGATTCCCGCTCACGGCCAACAACCAGCGATGATTATCTGAAACGGGTCCTGGGTCTCCCCTAGGTCGACTCAACCTCAAGTGAGTATGAGGTGCAGTGTGTAAAAATCAGCACTCATCTGGCATTTTACTCTGGGCATCCAAGAACGCAATCGGTGACCCTACTTAAAATCGGTTACTCCCGATAAACAGTGCAACAAAATTCCACTTGGATTAACAAAGCGTATCAATGTGACCATGGCTCAAGGTGTTGTATAAGTGTGGGGACGACAAGCACGTCCACAGAGCTTTTGCGGGGGGGGGGGGGGGGTTATAAAGAAAAACATGTTGGCAGGCAGAGGGGTTAAATTCTACAGGTCACAAATGATCTTATGGTAGATGGTCAAATTAACACTTTTTTTGGGAGAGAGAGATATTCGTTTCGGCAAATGACGAAGGCCTCTAGCCCTGACTTAAATCCGGGCAACGGTGACGGCGGTTTGGATGGGCAAAATAAAATAATTCCAAATCACGGGCGCTCATGTTGTTGCTCTGGAGACCTGGAGATCGATGATCATCGATGTTCGGTCGCCTTGTTGATGCCACTCGTCGTGAATTCTCACTCAACAGGGTGGGCCACGTGAAGGCTGCCACGGGGAGGCGGGGGGCAGCAGCAGAGTAAACGAGTGCCCTCCCATTCGATGAAAGTTTATTTAGGGGTTCGGACAGAAGGCCCTCGTTTCTGGAGCAGAGAGCACTCGAGGGGGAGTAAAGTGGGCTGAGAGAGGGGCGAGGTAGGCGAGTCCGCGGAGTATCTTAGAGGTGTCGAGTACGATGCCGGGAATCGATCCGAATTGGGGGTGAGATGTGGCATTGTTTACAGGGTGCTGTGGATGAAGTCCGGTGGAGTTTGTAGATTTAGCGACGTCATATGCCTCCGATTAGCATGGTTTGGCTTTTGTGCGTTGTGAAAGAAGCTCGACATACATGTGTACGTACTACGAGAAGAGAG